TGATGAGTGCGAGGGTGCTTTCAAGAGATTGAAGCATGCACTCATGAATCACGAAGTTCTCATGGTTCCCGATCCGCAGAAGCCATTCATAGTGACCACTGACGCAAGCCAATACGACATTGGCGCAGTGCTGGCTCAGCAGGATGGGAAAAAGTTGAGACCGATTGAGTATATGAGTAAGAAGATGCCATCGAAAAAATTGGCGAAGTCCACCTATGAAAGGGAACTCTACGCTCTCTACAAGGCACTTGTCCATTGGAGACACTTCCTTTTGGGAAGATTCTTCTATCTGAGGACTGATCATCAGACCCTCAAATGGATCAAGACTCAACCGGCTCTTTCTGCTGCACTCAAGCGATGGATTGAGGTCATAGACCAATATGACTTCAAGCTTGAGTACCTGAAAGGAGAGTACAACAAGGTTGCAGACGCGCTATCCCGTAGAGCAGACTACCTAGGTGCGCTAGTTTCCGAATTTGGCGTATCTAACGAAGTAACTCAATCATTGGTGGGAGCCTATCAGGAAGACCCTGTCACAATGGACATCATCCGCAAACTTCAGGCAAAAGACAAGGCCACAGAAAGTGAGTTTGTGATGGTGGATGGGCTAATCTATCTTGATAAGGCCGGAGTAAAGAGATTGGTAGTTCCATCTAGTGAACAATTGCGTAGTTTATTTTTAGGCGAATGTCATGACGCAACTGGGCGCTTTGGCTACAAGAAGACGAGTGCTAACTTGATACAGCGATTTTGGTGGCCCATAATGCTAGATGACGCAAAGAAGTATGTTGAGACCTGTCAGGTCTGTCAGCGGGACAAGCCGCGAACTCAAGCACCGCTTGGGTTATTGAAGCCTTTACCCATTCCTGATGGTCCAGGATTGAGTGTTTCCATGGATTTCATGGACACCCTAGTGACCAGCAAGAGTGGTAAGAGGCACATTTTCGTCATCATTGACAGATTCACCAAGTACGCTAGACTAATACCAATKCCAGAGACAGCCAGGACAGAGTATGTCATCAAGTTGTTCAAGGACAACTGGATAAGGGAGTTTGGTTTACCAAAGACCATCATTAGTGACCGAGACGTCCGCTTCACAAGTGAACTGTGGAAGAGGACTGCAGAACAGATGGGCAGTCAACTTCAAATGACTTCAGGGAATCATCCCGAAGCCAACGGACAAGCCGAACAAATGAACAGAGTGGTACAGCACTTGCTGCGGCATTACATCAAGCCCAGCCAAGATGATTGGGATGAGCAGTTGCCTCTCATCGCCAGCTTGTACAACAATGCTATTCATAGTAGTACCGGCGTTAGTCCTAACCAGTTGCACTTGGGATGGAAGCCTAGATCAGCACTAGACTTCCTCCTACCTGAAAACCGACCTGCTGCAACTCCAGGCACACTTGAATACGGTGTGCAATATGAAAAGTTGCTGCGCGAGGCTGTTGAACATATGAAGAAAGCTCAGCAAGCCATGATTGCTTCTGAGAATCAACATCGCAGACAGTCCACATTTCAGGTGGGGGAACGTGTCTGGGTCATGGCTGGTGAGTTAGGACAGGAGTTCGGAATATCTCGTAAACTAATGCCTCAATACTTTGGTCCCTGGGAAGTCTTGGATGTAGTGGGAGATGAAATGGATGGTCCTACGTACGTCATTCATGTCCCTGGTCATCTACACACTCACCCAGTTTTTCATGCCTCAAAGCTTGCACCTTTCGCTGAGACAGATCAATTCCCTTCCAGGAGATCGATGCTGCCCCCAACCATGGATGGTCAAGTTGACATCGACGACATTGTGGATCACAGGGACATGCCTGTTCCAAAGCCGCTGGGCCGAGGGAGACCTCCCAAGCCCAAGAGAGAGTACCGCGTCAGATTCAGGCATCACACGGATCCAAAAGAAGATCGTTGGTTTACCAGGGAGGAACTGATTGACACAGCTCCTCAGGTGGTGGCAGACTATGAGAAGAAACTGAAAGGGAAGGCGCCTGCGAAGTAAGCATCTCAGCGGACTTTCGAAGCTAAGGGGGATGGAATGTGAGGATTGAGCCCTCAAGTAGGCACGCTGCACAGATGCAAGTGTGCTGCGCTAATGCAGAGCAGGCTGCGCTAAGAAGAAGCAGGGCAGCGCTAGGCGGTAGGGCGCTGCCTGCTTGCAGGGCACTGGCGGCCATAGCCGGGCCGCAAGAGGGTGCAGGGGAGGTGAGGGCGAAGGTGGTACTTCGGAGGTGAAGGGCGCTGTGTGGGTAACAAGGGAGATGACACGTACCTGGTGATGGTGGAGGTCTGCATTGGTGTTGACATCATCACTTGCTGGTCGTCAAGTTGTCTGGTTGCTGTTCATTGCTGTAGTTGTAGGATAGGCTGTAGAGTAGATAGGGTGCCTGGCGCCATTCACAAGAGAGAGCTACATTTGGGTTATGCTGTTGGTGTTGCCCTGGTGGACATGGACATTGACTCACGATTCTTCTGTATCATTCTCAATGGGATGGTTACTCAGTTCCATGTGCTATCTGCTTTGGCTTTGAATACTTGGACTTCAGTGTGATTTTGCATTCTGGATTTCAGTGCTTCGTCCATACTCATGTTCCTTGCATAATTTTTATTCTATTGTGTTTGTTTTAAACCACCAGTACCTTTGACGCTTCCCTTGCTGAGCCTGGAAATGCCCTGCGCGCCCAAAAAAAAAGGAACTGACGCGGGCTTCCTTTTGGCTGGTTCCGCCAACCATTTTGCCCTGGGTGGTCAACCCACGAAACTTGCGGCGTGTTAACGGCCGTGCCGGGAAAAAATGGCTGGGTGAGATACTACCATCTTCCCCCGAAAATAAGGCATATGCGTTGTAAACGAATACAACGCATACCGATGCGTTATGTTCCAGTGAATGAGACCAACTTCGCCTGCACAAGGGGGTCGGGTCCAGGCTGAGTAGGCTCAGTTCTGGACCACGGCTGGGGGCCTCAGAGCCTTGGCGAAAAGGTAAAAGTAAAGTAGCGACGTACCTTTCCATGTTCTGGGTCGAGTTTCATTCCTTTCCCCTACTTGGGCCCTTGCTCCACTCCTCAGCAAATGTGCAAAATGCGAATGAATCTTCCACTAGACCGGGGACAAATACAACCCCTTTCTTTTTTGTCTCGGTGACCTCGGTAGTGCAGCGAGATCTTGGTGATTGGCTTTTCTATTTTTCCCCGTCTTGGCCGCGCCACGTTCTTGGCTGTCAGAAGTGCCACTTTCTTGGCTGTCAGAAGCGCCTTCGCGCACGGGGAGAGAGAGAGAGAGAGAGAGAGAGAGAGAGAGAGAGAGAGAGAGAGAGAGAGAGAGAGAGAGA